AACTTTGTTCTGTTTCAAGATTGTGTTGGCTATTCAGGGTCAGATAGAACTGACTTTTGACAAACCAAGTATATAACATTTACAATACCTAAAATCACTTTCTCATGTTTGTGATCTCTACCACTTTTTACCTGATGTTGGAAACCATTTTGGACTTTTTAAAAACAATTATGAGCTGTATCATAAAGGTTCATACAAGAATTATACAATTTCATGACCATAAAACCACCACCTTGGTCAAGAAATACAATACTGCTCCCAGTTACTTCCCTGTTCACGCGTCCTCTCCTGATCACAACCCCCTCCTAGAATCTTGATTCAGTTTTCACATTTAGGTCAATGATCCACCTCAGTGTAATTTTTGTGCATAGTGTGAGTTAGGCGTCAAGGTTACTTTCTTTTCCTCTATAGAGATCTAATTTCTCCAGCACCACTTAAAAAAAACCCATCCTTTCACTCACAGAATTGCATGGAACAAGTTGAGAAGTGATTCATTTATTTCTGTTCTCTGGGAGTGCAAGATTGATATGTCTTCCTTATATTTTTTGATAGAATCTATTGTGGAGTGTTCTTTGTGTGAAGTTTTTTTTTAAAATAATTTATTTATTTTCCCCCAGAGCCCCAGTAGATAGTTGTATGTCATAGTTGCACATCCTTCTAGTTGCTGTATGTGGGACGCTGCCTCAGCGTGGCCGGACAAGCGGTGCGTCGGTGCGCGCCCGGGATCTGAACCCAGGCCGCCAGCAGCAGAGCATGCGCACTTAACCGCTAAGCCATGGGGCCGGCCCTGTGTGAAGTTTTAAATTACATATTCAATTTATTTGATATAGTACTATTATTTTTTAAGTTAATTTTGGCAAGTTGACTTGTACCAATTATTGTCTCTTGGCTCCAAACACACACCTTTACCTATTCTGCTTTATGATGCTGAGGTTGGTCTGTAACCACATTTCTGCTTTGCAGGCTGGTTCCGTTAGGCTCTGCTAACAGTAGACACTAGGGAAAGACCGAGAGGCTAGAGATAGGAGAGGACACTTGCTCCTTCCTGTGGATATCTTCTTGCAGTTCTTGTGAGCTTCAACCCAGTGATGCCTCTTCTCTATGGTGGCTGCAGTTTCCTCCTGTGTCAGTAGCTGAATCCAGCGTGCAGTTTCTTTGTGCCCCCCTCACCCTTCAGCATCCCCTCTTTAGTGGTCCGAATTTCGGCTCCAAGGGTTCCTGCTCCAAGCTTCTAAGTTTTAAAAATTCCAGCCTCTTTGTTCTCTTGGCTCTAGGTTTTATAGCTGCTGCAGTTGCTATGTCTATGATACCTTAAAATTCTGTTACTCTTTTCAGTTACCTAGTTAATAACTGTATGACTTTAATAAAATTACTTCCGTTCAAACAGCTGGTGTCTGCCTCCTGATTAGAATCTGATATACTGACAAAGGACTAGTATCCAGAAGATATAAAGAACTTCTACAAATCAGTATGAAAGACAGACAACTGGCACATAAAGAAACCCTATGATGCAACAGACAGAAATACATTTATACGCATGCACCAAAGGACACATACAGAAATGTTCATAGCAGCATTTTTAGTAATAGCCAAAACCTTGAAACTTACCCAAATGCCCATTAAAAGTTAAATGGCTAAATTATGCTATATCCACACAATGAAATACAATATAGCAATGACATTGAACAATCTACCACTATATGTATCGATTAATCTCATGTTACTTGAAAGCCACTCAAAGGAGTACATAATATATGATTTTATTTAGAAAGCACAACAACAGGGAAAAAAATCCATGGTATTATGTTAGCACAGTGCTTCCTCTAGGTGGGAGATTAGAGAGGGATAGAAGCTAGAAGGCAGATGAGAGCCTTTGGGGGAACTGGTAGTTTCTTGATCTGTGTGCTGGCTATATGGTCTCATTTTAGAAACAAACACCCCTCCTTGACATACTGCCATCTCTTGAGCTACTGCTCTATTCTCTTAAGTGAGTCTACACTTCTGCCATAACACTGAAATTATTCTCACCAAATTCACCTGATTCTAAATTTAGTAGACATATTTTCTCTGTCCACATTTTCCTCAGCATTTAAAATGCTCTCTTCAATGACACTGAATCTCCTGGTCTTCCTTCATTACCCACCCCTTAAACACTGAGATTCATCCTTAGCCCTTTCTCACTTCCAAACCTATGGATAATCTTATATATTCCCATCACTTGGAATATATCGATTTGCTATGGACTCCCAACTATGTCTAGTTTCTCTCCTAAGCTTCCGATTGCTAACCTGTCAATAAATGATCTCCATTTGGATTTATTCATAGTATCTGAGTGCTTACTATGTGTCAAATACTGTGTTAGGTCCTAGAACTTCTCACAGGGGTTATCAAACTTGATGTATTCAAACCCAAAGTGTTTCTTCTTTCCCCCATATTTAGTCTTCCTTTAGAACTCTCTCAGTGACAGGCACCACCTTCTACTAGGCCAACCAAGTGAAAAACCTCTAGGTAATCTTTTACTTATCCCTCTGTGACCATTTCTTATTAATCAAGTCTGTTGAATTTACCTCTGGAAGATAACTCAAACCTATCTGTCTCTCCAGTCTCATTGCTATTCATTCATACTTAATTTTATATATAATCAATCTTTTGAATAAACACATAGACTGAACACTCCAAAGAAATGTCTGTATGAGTTCCAAATCAATGCTTAACATTGTTTCCAAACGGTATAGCATGGCCAAATTAAATACCTACATAACCCCTCAGATTGAGTAGCCAAACTACAGGATGAGCTCCAATCATTCCCACCTCCTGGGATTCACATTCTTGTGTAGTTCCCTCCCCATTTTACCAGAGTTGATCTGTAAGATCAAGAGAATATGGCAAAAGTAATGGTTTATCATATCCAAGATTAGGTTATGTAAATGCTGTGGCTTCAACTGTGAGTGTGCTTTCTCTCTTGGACTACTCTGGGAGAAGCCAGCTGCCATGTCATGAGATAACCTATGATGTCTCCTGCCAACAGCCAGTAAGGAACTGCAGCCTGCCAACTATGCTGCAAGGTTGGAAGCAGATTCTGCCACAGTTGAGCCTTCAGATGATACTGCAGCCTTGGCCACTCTCTGATTTCTTACACATAGAAGCTGCAATAATTGTTTCAAGCTGCTAAGGTTTGAAGCTACATAGCAATAAATTATTTCTTCTTCCAATCAAACCATAAGCTGTGATAGACTACAATTTCTGTCATTAGGACAAAATAAAACAAGAACATTTTTCACTGCTTTGCAATTTCAAATTATTCACTTTATCACAAGCTCAATGTGTTAAATTCTGGACAATCAAGTCAGTAGTGGTCTAGTATAAAGAGCATTTGATTAGGATTGCATTTTCACAATCAGCTTTGATTTATTCCAAACAAGCTCTGACAGATTTGTGGTTCTTTGACTTACAAGGGTTAAACATTACTAATTTCTCTCAATAAGATAAAGAACGATTAATAACAATATTTAAACTGCTAATAAGTCTATACTGCTATTAGTTTATGGAATGGTCAAACGTATTCTCTGTTTTTTTTAAAACTGCTTCCCCAAAAGAACACCCAAGACAAGTTCCGAGATATTTCTAAAACTGCATCCATGCACTGCCAAACATTATACCTGGCACAGAGGCAGCAAATAAATATTTGTTGCAGTGAGTGATAAAACTTTATAAGCAATCAGTTTCAAAGGACTGTGAATATAGCACAAATGTCATCAAATGTCAGTCTGACTAATGATTCTACACCAGAACATAACAGAATCCCAGAGTCCCCCTGCACTCAAAACTCCATGTCTCCTCCTCTATTTTCTTCCCGAATCTTTGGTGGGAAGATGGTATGTGCACCCTGAGAAGCTCTCAGTAGCTGCCAATTCAAGATGACAGATTAACCACATGTGTTTATAGTCTCATCCTGTTGAGGTTATTACTGAAAAGAGAATTAAAAGATGTTTAACACAATGACAGAGAATGGAAGTGAGACATCAAAAGAATATATTTTGAAGAAGTGTATGGAGAAAACATTAAGATGTAAAATGAATTAACAAAGTTAAAGAAGGCTCAAACTTAAATGGCTACAGAGAAAGATTAAATCTGGAAGTGAACCTTAAAGAACCCCTAAGAGGTTTGGAACTTAGAGGCACCACCAATGTTGTAGAAGGAGCAAGGCTGAACTGGTATAGAGTTTGTATATAGTGTTGGTCTTTTAGGTCCTCTCTGCCATATCATACGCAACCCGACTCATCATTGCAAACTTGGGCAAGTTTCTTAACTTCTCCAAGCACCAATTTCCTCATTTGTAATGAGAGACTAAGGAAATACCAACTTCATAGGATTATCATGAGGATTACGTGAGTCAATACATATCAAGTGCAAAGAACAGTATCTAGCACATTTATTGCATGATAAGCATGCAATAAAGCACAGCTTACTGTTATTTTAAGCTTTTGATGCTATTTGCTTTCTAATTAATTGTAGTGTATATATTAATCTGAGAATCACTAATTTAAATAAAATCATCTTTGGGGGACACATAAATGAAGAAGAGATAAAGGCACTTGCATCTTGTGAACACAGCTCTCTGGTGAATATATCACAGCAATATCTTTGCTTAGTTTCAAAGCAAGACTAAAATTCATGACTGTCACAGATATGTACTAAGACAGTAAAACCAGAGGAAAAAAAAGAAATGGAGACTGAAAAGAAGTAGTTACTATATTGTAGAGTGGGAGAGGTGCCTCTGAGAGCTTCCCTGGGTCATTGTGCAAGTATAATGGCCTTACATTGTTTACTATGAGCAAACGAGGAGCTCATCACGTTACTACAATGATTAGAAGCAAAACAAAGGAACAGACTGAAATGAGAACTAAATCTCAACAATGCATAAATATCACATAAGAAATGTTATCTGGAAATCTTATAGTTTTGTGTTATCTGAAAAGCATTTATTGCAATGACAAAACTAGAGGTTAATTACTTTTTTATTATTGAATTATATTGTGAAGTCTACATCTACAATTTAATCAGGAAGAAATGCTTTGCATTTACATCAAGGACACATTTATTCTAGTGGAATAAAACAGACACAGACAGAAGACCAAGTACACATTAAAAAAAAAACTGACTACATGTTTTACCTGGTCCTACTTTTGCTGTTTTGGACCATACCTTTCCTATTAGAAAACTGATCTTACATACATATTAAGTCTGAGTATCTTCCCACATTTTTAAACATTAAATGCAGCTTCTCACAATTCCTAATTACAAAAAACTGAAAATAATATGGGAAACAAAGTTTAAAAACAAAGAAATTAAAAGTAGACTATTACCTTATACTGGAAAAGTTGAGTAAAACGTGCCCCCTCTGTGGCTCACCTCAAAGAAACACTTTTACTCAGAGAGGGACGCATTTTTGACCTAAGAGTAAGTTTCCCACTCCCCCTGCAAGACCAGACCTATAATGTTTCTGGTCAATTGCAAAGTAAGTGAAAAATGTCTACAAAATATCTAATAGCTAAATATCAGAATAGGGCTAATTCAACTAAAAATTGTGTGCTGGTCTAAACATACATCTTCAGCTTTTTCCTTTTTAAAAAGTATCTTTTTATTTCAGATGACATGTAAAAATAACTTACATTTTTAGTGTGTTTTATGGTCAATGACTGTAAAGCTGAAACTCAAATGAGTAAATTTAAAATTTTTGTTTTACTTGATTCTATTGAAATTTTGATTACCTACTACTTTACTTAACCAAGTTATACATGAGGTAAGTTTTAGCTAAAAAAATAAATCAGCCACAAAGATAAAGTTAACCATTTCAAGAGTACACAAAAATCATAATGCCCACCTCATATTCAGAGTTTACAAATTTATGTATTAACTACTATGTATCTAAGAAAAGTTGACTATGTAATTTAAAAGCAAATACTTTTTGCACTTTTAAATCAAATTATGTTAGGAAATAGAGGGCAAAAAAACTTGGCAAAATTTGTTTTTGGTAACAGAAGACAATGCAAGAATGAATCCAAATGGAACCTAAGATGGGTGTTGGACGTTTCTAACTTCTAAACAGACACACACTTATTTCTCTAAAAAAAATTTTGGTAGCAAATTGGATTGACAGAATAAATGTTTTTCTGTAAATAAAAAGTACAAGTTTCCAATTATAGCCTTATAGCTAGCTAAACAGCTTTTAAAAACATATATAGCCAGCTCACAGTTCTTGAAAACATGAACATGTTGCACTAAAAGATCCCTGCTAGAAATCAACTGTATTTAAATGGGTCTTACTGAAGTAGGACGTTCATGATACTAGAAATCTTTTTAAAAAGTACAATAGGGCTACAATAATAACATTACTATTAATAAAAGTAACAGAAGAGATTATTGCTGTACTTTTTGCCATAAACACCATCAAACTTTGTTTCAGTTACAAAAAGTACAACCCCAAGTTACTTTTTCTCTTACCCAATTTCATGTTTCACATCTCTAAAGTTTTTATTCAGCATAGAATTCTTAAAATCTTTTCTGTAAGAATTCAAAGTATTTAAATGTGTAGCTTCACATTATACTATCGTGTTCTCCCCTTCTTGTTTCCCAGATACACAAAAACAATATACATTTTTCTCTAAAATGAAGATGTCCACATTAAAAAAATAAAGCCTACAAAAAAGTTCCAGAGCTAAAAAAGATTATTCATATGGCACAGTGATCTCCCACTAGTCCCAAGTCCAAAACATTGAAATGAAGTCCATTTACATATCTTGTTTGCTTTTCAATGGAATACTACGTTTACTGAGGTGAAATCACATTATTTTTAGTTCTTGAGTCAACAAGTATACACAAATGTTTTATACAGTTATTAAAAACAGGAGACCAACTTGAGTGTGCCAAAAAGATATCATTCAGTGGATTTTCCAGAGTCATTAACATATTCCCTGAATGGATTTACTTGGTTGGTTTCCATAGCTTGATAGACCAAAAACAAAAAAGTGGCCACAACAACAAACAGCAAAATTTTTATCCACATGGGAATGGAGCGTCCCTTTTTTGTCTTTTCTGACTTGACATCTGCCGAGGGAACATACTTGGGGACATATTTAGATGAAAAAGATTCCTCCATCCTGAAATCCCTCAGTTCTAATGGCCGGCCTGCAGCCCCTTTGATTGGTCTGCGGCAACTAGCACTGTTGGGAATGAGAGGAAGAAGAGAAAAAGAAATTTTAGATAAAGTCATGATTTAGATAAATAATATAAAATGTCATTACCATTCCTAACTCCAAACACATTCCTTCGGGTAACAGGAGGAAACTGTCACATATAAACAGTGAGATCAGTCAACCTATTTACAACTTGTACATATTTTTCATTTAAAAAGTTAGGTACATATCTTTTATTAGAAAACAATATTCAGAAGATTGATAAATGTTCACTAAACTTGCCTTTTTCTTCTTCTTCTTTTTTTTTGTGAGGAAGATCAGCCCTGAGCTAACATCCCATGCCAATCCTCTTCTTTTTTGCTGAGGAAGATGGGCCCTGGGCTAACATCTGTGCCCATCTCCCTCTACTTTACATGGGATGCCACCAGAGCATGGCTTGACAAGCGGTGTCGGCGTACATCTGGGATCTGAACCTGCGAACCCCGGGCTGCCGAAGTGGAGCGTGCGCACCTAACTGCTGTGCCACTAGGCTGGCCCCTAAACTTGCCTTCTTAAAGGCTTTTCAGAGCTAATATATTCTGGAGATAAAGAGGGAAAAAATAAGGTGTTTTGGTTATGATTCCTTAAGTCAGGAAACAATTCAACAGATATCTAAATACAGTGTTTCTAATTAGAAAAGAAAAACTCCAGGGGGAAAAAATGATTTCCTTCTTACTAGGTTTCCGTTTAGATTTTGAAATAGGAACTAAATACTGTAGGTAAATGATTTATTTACAATCCCTCAGCTTAACAAAGTTAATTTTGAAATGGACAACTTTCAAGAATATGAATTGCTTGAGCCAGCCCTGATGGCCTAGCCGTTCAAGTTTGGCATGCTCTGCTTTGGCGGCCCAGGGTTTGGTTCCTGGGCGTGGAACCACACGACTTGTCTGTCAGTAACCATGCTGTGGCAGTGGCTCACATAGAAGAACCAGAAGAACTTACAACTTTACACAACTATCTACTGGGGCTTTGGGGGCGGAAGGAAGAAAAAAGGAGGAAGATTGGCAACAGATGTTAGGCTTAGGGCGAATTTTCCTCCATAAAAAAACAATATGAATTGGTGGCTTAGAAGAATTAAACTGCTCTCAAAAGAACAGTTTAATTCTGAGAACAGAGGTACAGTAACTTTGTGAAGAATTAAAAATTAAAATTCCCATATACATATAGTATTAAATACTCATGTTGTATACTCTAAATCTATACAATTTTTATGCATCAATTATACCTCAATAAGGTGGGAATAAATAAGTAAATAAATAAAAATGACCTAGTAGAATACACTAATATTTGCTTCATTGTATCTGAATACCTAATTCCTGTTGGTGTAGATGCTTCAAAAGGAAACATTTCCTTAAGAATATCCCTTTCTACTCTTCTTTCCTCTGTCTTTTCTCCCACCTAATAAGAAAGAAAGAAACAAAGAACCACACGTTAAAATTTAGTGTCAATGCGTAATAATTAAAATATAATTTTAAACAGAAGTTTCAGAGAACAGAATGCACTTAAATCTGTCCTAGCTTTTACAACCGCCATTTCTCAATTCATTATCACCTAAGTATCCACACACTTCCAAGACTCTCTTCAAATTTCTTCAATGTGAAGATATGTTAATTTGGAAAGTGGGGGTGGGGGGAAATCACCACACATTCAAATAAGTTAAGAAAACCCCCAACCTCCACCAAATCCTAAAATTCAGTACAGCTGATACGGCAGTATAAAGTTTCCTCAATGGATTTCCCATGCTTTTCATTAACAGTACACTGTTCCTTCCTCTGTTAATAATTTTATGATCACATAAATGATCAAATATAAAATATCAAATTTACATGGATCTTTAAGAAATTTTAGTATGTTTTTAACTAGAGTCAATCCAGTCCTCCTAACTTAAACATAAAATATTTTTTTTAAGAACCTGATTGTTTTGCTGTGTTTACCTTTATGCCCAGATCAAAATAACTTTTGGTAAAGATTCATTAAAATTATATTGCATCATGCAGTTAGTAGTGTAAAGCTTACTTATACAGGAGTTAATCAATTCAAGCCTCATACAAAGTCACTTTCAAGTTCCATTATTTGACTTTTCAGTGAAAGATAATATTATAGCCTCCCCCCTACAGCCCAGTAACACTTGCAACTCACATCCATAGCAAAGAGAACACATTACAAGCAGCACACAAAGGATCACTCCCTTGAAAACTAGAACTTGAAACACAGTAGCGAGAGGATAGTATTAGCATGTCATACTGTATTAGTTACTTTCCATTGTCACTACCAAAAGTATGTCTTTAAAATAATATATGCATATATATACATACACACACACACCCCCCCCCCAATAAAGAAAGTTCTATTCCCTCCCACTCCAAAAAACAAATATAAATATTTCCTCTTTAAAAGATCAATGATAGCATCGATCTAAATTTTAGTCATTTACTTCAGCTCTTGTCAATGGTTTCTTTGGTGTTCTTCTGGGTATGTCTGAGAATTCAGTGATTGGCAGAATAGGAGCTGCGTGCTTGAAATTTCCAGTCACCCTATTGACAACCTGCCAAGATTCAAATTATTCAGACTCAGAATTATCCAAACATAACAAGACATGTAAAAGAAAAGAAAAAAAGATATCCTATTTCTGTAATATTTGAAACTTTCCCTTAATAAACATTGAGGCAAAAGAACCTAGAAATGAGCATATTCAGTGCTTTTACACATGAAACTTTATCATTCTTTAAATATTTTGTGATACTTAGGATTCTTGTACAATGAATTAAATTGATATATATAAACTGGCTATATGGAAAAATTCTAAAATTCAGAATCATATGGGGAAAAGGAGTTTAAAATATAATGTTTAAAAAAAATCTAAACTTGAGGTTTGCCAAAATTTACCACCTCCCCAATTCTAATTAAAGGGTAATTTACAAAGAATACCACTTGTATAGTTTATGAAACATATTTACTAAGGTTTCGTTGCTTGAAGCCATTATAGTTTCAGCTATGGGAGTACTCTCTGAAATTATTGCACCATCTATACGAAAATGTTCTGAAGTTTCCACCTGTTAGTTTGAAAACAAAACAAAAACAATAAATATAAAATAATCACTAAAACCCTACCAATCTGAAAACCCAACGCTAAGCAGTAAGCCTTGCATCACCCTTTTCCTCGGAGTTCTTCTGGACCCTCTTGTAGATTCCCTAGTTAATGCCTGCAGAGGTCCGCCTTTTGAAGATCCACTTGTCCAGTCAGTCTCAGTTATTCCAGCTTGAGAATAGCTCTATTCAAGCATCGACACATTAAAAAGTCATATTCTAACATCAAATACCTTAATAATGGCCATATTAGCATACTGACAAGCCATGAAAAATCTCCAAATGCCAGTGTGCAAACAATGCTATACCCTCAAAATATTTCTAAATTTATTGATTGAACCGATATGTAGGCATCAGAAAACACTTAAAGTATGGTAAAATACACTAAAGAGTCCAACTATAGGAGCTCACAAATTACAATAAAAAAGAAGGGAAAAAAAGCACATCAATTTATCACTGTGGCTCCTTTAGTGACTTACTCTTTGCTATTTGGCTCTAGTATCTCAGCTGCATCTCTTTGGCTGTCTAAACAAAAAGCAGGCTGATCGTGACTTATAAGAAAGTCATTTGTTATGACAAGCCAGTTTCTTTTTAAAATAAAATACAAACTTTTATAATTATTAGTATAGATTAAACATTATAATTTTCATGTGATTAGGATTATTTAAATAGAATCAGTTTAGGGGGGCGGCCCCATGGCGTAGCGGTTAAGTGCGCGTGCTGGGCTGCTGGCAGCAAGGGTTTGGATCCCGGGCGCGCACTGATGCATCGCTTGTCAGGCCATGCTGTGGCGGCGTCCCATATAAAGTGAAGGAAGATAGCCACAGATGTTAGCCCAGGGCCAGTGTTCCTCAGCAAAAAGAGGAGGATTGGCATGGATGTTAGCTCAGAGCTGATCTTCCTCACCAAATAAATAAATAAATAGAATCAGTTTCAATTATAATCCATACACAGCTATCTGAACTTAAAAATTCCCAGGTATCAAACTCTAATTCTTAGAGAGATATTAAAACGGAGCAGCAACAAAAACCTGGTGTTCACCTCCTTCACGAACATGCAAGCCTAAAATGTCACTACCAAACTTCAACGCAACCCCATTCCTCACTGCTGAAAGATGGAAAGGTCACAGTGATAGACCACTGTTACCTTCCAGTCCCAGATTCATTTCTCCCTGAAAAGCCAACTGATTTTTCATCATTTAAAAAATAATTTAGCAGTCTTTACAAAATAGTTGGAAAATCACTAGACTAGTGCTTCGCAAACTATAACGTGCATAATCAATCACCTAGAGCTTTTGTTAAAATGGAGATTCTGATTCAGTAGCTCTGGGGTGGGGCCTGAGATTCTGAGTTCAAAGTCGCAAGTTATTCAACTTTGAAGCCACTATTCAGATGATTCTTTTAAATTCTTTTAACTAGAGAACATCCATCAATGTTTAGTATTATACTAGAGTATGGTTCTATTGTCACTTTTGCTTTCAAGCTAATATTTTATCTAGATAACTGATGTTTCTATATCCAAGTCAGTGTCTAATAATTTTAAAGACAGATATATTTTACTCTTATCCTGAGACAAGAGCTTATGTGACTGGAATTATTACTACCAAAACCCCACAAGGTACATAGTCTCATATATCTGATTTGTATTTATCTGTATTTGGGATTGACATTATAAGAGTTTCCTTTTAACTCACAATCTGAATCTCTGAGTTCCTTTCCTTGCTATCAATTAGGAAATATTTGCTGAATGCAAACAATGTTAGTCAAGAGACAAATCTGTAAACAAATTACACACATATATAATAAATGCTTCTTAATAAATTCCTGATTATTTAAATGGTTCTCAATCCTGGCGGCACAGTATCATCTGGGGGAACTTTTAAAAAATACCAAATGCTCCCAACCCCAACTTAGACCAATTAAGTGAAAATTTCTTCTAGAAAGGCCTGGGCATAGTTAATTTTTATAGCTCCTGAGGGGATTCTAATGTGCAGGGAGGGTTGAGAACAACTGGTTTATGATAATATAACTGACTTATGATACATCTCAAAGCCAAGTATTTTTTTTAAGCTGCTTTCAACACTGATTTCTCTTTAATAATCAATTACTCAACACCAACAAAAATAATTAGAAGAAAGATTTTAAAAATATCCTAGGGCCAGCCCTAGTGGCCTAGTGGTTAAGTTCAGTGTGCTCCGCTTCAGTGGCCTGGGTTCGGTTCCTGGGCGCAGATGTACACCACTTGTCTGTTAGTGGCCATGCTGCGGTGGCAGCTCACATACAAAAAGAGGAAGACTGGCAGTGGATGTTAGCTCAGGGAGAATCTTCCTCAGCAAAAAAAATCCCCCCAAAACAAAACAAAAAAAACCCCAAAACAAAAAGACATTCTAGTTTGATAGTCTATCTGGTATTATCAATGTATACGCAGTATTTTAGAACTCCTCAAAGAATTAACAACTACATTACTCAAAAGGGCTAATAAAGTTACCAGTTATGCAGCTGCTACACTAAAAGACCAGATATTTTACCTATGTCCATGAAGGTAAAAGCAGGGGAGGAAGACACATCCTTTCCTTAAAAGTGGTTACCCACCAAATTTTAGGACTTTTCACTTGTTATGTTTTATTTTGAATAAGTAACTGAAATAATCTCTTCATCAACAATTTTACCTAACATCTATTGAAACTATTACAGATAAAAAAAAAAAAAAAAACATGTTTACACGTTTTTATTAGTTATCTTTGACATTAAAGGCCAAGCTCCATTTAAAGATTCCTTATTTTCTTCCGTGGAATGAAACAAGAAATTCTTTGGTTGCTTGTGGGAATAGCTGGGAACAGGGGTGGGAAGGCACTTTTCACATTATAAATCATTTATACTTTCTTTTGTTCACATGTATTTAGTTCTTTGGTTGAGGATGGTTAACCAATTTTATTAGTTCTTTACTATTGATATCTAATTCAGAAGTAATCAGGGCCGGCTCCGTGGCTTAGCGGTTAAGTGCGCGCGCTCTGATGCTGGCGACCCGGGTTCGGATCCCGGGCGTGCCCCGAGGCACCACTTCTCCGTCCAACGCGAGGCCGAGTCCCACGTACAGCAACTGGAAGGATGTGAACCTATGGCATACAACTATCTACTGGGGCTTTGGGGGGAAAAAAATGAATAAATAAAATCTTTAAAAAAAAAAAAATAATAATAATTCAGAAGTAATCATCTTCACAGAAAACTCACAACCCTGCACACAAACAGAAAAAATATTCTGAAGATTAAAAAAAAATTTTTCTACCAGAATCTACTATAAACAAGTGACTTCGAGAAGCAAATATAAATAAAAAATAATAAAATTATAATTTAATATTATAACTACTTAGTAAAATGGACCAAACAATTATTGATTGAAAAGAAACTCACTGCTATGTAAAATCAGTAATTAATGTGATTCCTATATGCTCTATGGCCAAAATAAGAATTGCAGTGTCATCAATTTTCAGCAAGATGTTCTATAGAAAGTCCAGAATTTATCAGGAGACAATAGCAGGGGAAGAAACAAAAACCTTCTCACGTTACCTTTTAACAAGCTATTATTCTGAATAACTTATTCAGAAGATGTTAGGCAGTTGAGGCACATGAGAATGCAGGAGCTGGGCTAAAACGAGGCTATAAATCCCAGTCAGTAAAAATACAAGCTCTAAACAAAAAATTTACACAAAATTAGGTTATAAAAAGAAATAATAAGAATAATTAAAAGCTACCTTACTCTGAAGAACTCACTATCAATTTAGGTAAAACATGACCAAAATGGGTACTCATATTAACTTTTTTTAAAAACAGCATCATACTCCTTCATTAGAGAAAGGTACTCTCAAACACTGCTGGTGGGAATGCAAAATGCTTCAACTCTTATGCAGGGGAATCTGGTAACATCTAGCAAAATTACCCAGCAATTTCCCTTGTAGATTTCCTGAAGATAAACTGGCTAAAATACGAAATGACACATGTAAAAGGCTGTTCATGGATTCATCTCTGCATTATTCAAAATAGCATATAACTCAAAACAATCCAAATATCCATCAAAAGGAAAGTGGCTAAATAAATTGCAGTATATCCATAAAATGCAATACCATGCAGTGGTACAAAGCAATGAGGAAGCTGGCTATACTATATTCTGATATGGAGTGATCTCTAAGATATATGTTTAAATTAAAAACAGAAAGAAAAGGAATGTGCAAAGTAGGCTGCCTTTTATCTAAGGAGGGGAGCATAAATAAATATATAAATCTATGTATTTACTTATATTTTCAAAAAGAAACAAAATATAAACCAAAACTTAAAAATGGTTACCTATGGATGGAAAGAACAAAGGTAGAAGCCAGATTTCTGACTCTATCTTATTTTGCCTAAATAAAACCACATATATATTCTCAATAATTAAAAAATAAAAGAAAAAATTCTTTCAAGTGACTAAGCACAGTATTTTGATTTTATATCCTAAAGAAAAGAAAAACTGCCCAAGAAAACCCCAAAACTGCATTTAGCAGCCTTACTGTTAGTAGTAATACTGTATTACTTAGAAACTTATATCTATAGTGATATTTACATAAAAGTAACGACATTATTTTAAGAACCAAGATACTCAGCATCAGAGAAAAGAGATACAAGTATAATACCTAGAAGTTAGATAGACTGCATTAATAAATTTGATGAATTCATGATTTATTTTCTCTTTCTAAAAAACAAGTACTCCTACCTCTACCTACTGAAAAGGCCTAGAAGCAGGGACAACCCAGCAGGAATGAACTTCCTAGCATCTAGACTGTAGGTAGCCTCCAAATAATATTTTCTATTAAAAGGATTAGGGTTCTTTGGAAAAATGGCTAATGTGATAAGAGGCAGGAAATATACAGGAGCCTGGGACATCTTACTTGCCAGAAAACAAACTATCAAAGACAAACAGGGTCAATAAAAAGATACAGGAATCAACTCAGTAATTCCTAATGGCCAAAGACAGCAAAATTTGAACATGAAAAAAGAATAATGACTGCAATTCATCATAAGTCAAATATATAAAAACCATACTAGCAGAAAGATTTTACTGATCATCTTTCAAAGTGACCACAGCACTTTAAATGGAAAATTGGCAAATAAAAGGCAAGAAGCAAGCATTTATCCTGGCGCTTCTGTATGAATTTTATTTCAAGGTAACTAAGTAGTTCATGAGGGAAAGTTGTTTGAATTACGGATATAGATGTAAAGGAATGAGAGAAGAAGAAAAATCATCATCTTACAACCTCAAATGAAATAACGGATCTAGACAATAATCATAAATGGATATAATAACCACTAAATGAAAGGGCAATGTGGAATTTTATCATGATCAGGTTTTTAACATCTGAACTATTACTAATTAATTTTAGCATCATCAAAAAGACATCATGTGCCTCCTGAAATGATGCAAAATGAAAGCCACAACACCATTTATGAAGTATTCTTGTCAAAGAATCTGAATCTAACCAATCCTCTAGATCTATGCTGTCCAATATGGTAGCTACTAGCCCCATGTGGCTATTTAAATTAAATAAAATTAAAATTTTAGTTTCTCAGCCACACAAACCACATTCCAAGTATTCAATAGCCACACATGGCTAGTTGCTACCATAATGGACAGCAGATATAAAACATTTCCATTATCACAGAAAGGTCTATTGCACAGCCCTACTATAGGTATAACTCCCAGCCTACAGGAAATACAGGGCAGAGAAGAGCAAATTAAATCATATTTGAAGAAGCAATCTGCCAAATCCAGAACGTAGGAAATTCTGTAGAGGACTGACCTGGTTTCTTCACCAAATAATGGAGGGAGAGGAAACAGTTGTAGGGGAAATAGCCACAGACTTAAGAGACATAACAAAATAAAAAACACCAAATGACATGTGGAGCTTGTTTGGATCCTGATTTGAACAATTTAATCACAAAAGTGACATTTCCGAAACTAGAGGAATTTGAACAGATTAGAGATGAGAGAATTATTAATTTTATTAGGTGTGACAGTGGCACTGGTGTATTTTATATAGTGGTATGCATATATATATGTATGTGTATATATACATATAAAACAGCTCCTACCTTTTAGAGATATATATTGATATACTGACATTTTAATGTGTGAAATATATGATATGATATGATATGATGTTGGAGATTTGCTTTAACATACTCCGGCAAAAAGCAAAACAACAAAACCAAAAAGAATTTAAAAAGCTGGAAGGTGCAGGTGAAGATGAAACGAAACTGGTAACATGTTGACAACTGTTGAGGCTCTGTGACCATGTGACTGGAAGGTCATTAAACTCTCCCCTCCACTTTTCTATGTGTTTTAAATTTTGTATAATAAGGCCATTGTCTAATTCTGCCTGTCATCTCCTAAATCTATTCTCCTTTGATTATTTATCCTGGCCCTCTGTTCAGATTCCCCTACTCAAAACCATTACCCCTTAAACCATCTTTAATACCATCCTCCCTCCCTCCTTTTAACTATCTGACCAGACACTCATTCTTGCTAGCACTATGCCATCTTGCCTTCATACTCTGGACCAAAGTTCCCCATGCTTGTCTATTTCAGTGTCCTTGAGCAGATTTTCTTAGTTTCTCTTGCTCTGTTATTTCTTTATTCTTCAGCATGCCCCTGCAGCTCTTCCCTAGCAATACTAGATAAAAGGGCAATAAAATATTTATTCCAGTATTTGGCTCTATATTAAACAAAATCTTCTTTCATTTAATGCTCTATGCATTCTCCACAGTCACCAAGCTCATTTCTAACAAACAGTTCTGAAATTCAACTTATCAACTACATCAAACCAAGAGAGAGACATGGCTTCAGAAATCAAGAACACTTCTTTTGAGGATGTATCACTTCAAAATGACAAAGAGAAGATGGAAAATTTAAATAAGCAACTAGACAAATCTTCCAGCTGGACAGAATAAGGATAAGGAAATGACTAGGGAGAGCTGTCTTGTAAAGCATCAGACAAATCAATGCTAAATTAGTTAGTAATTTGTTCTCTGTAAACTAGCTCATTTATACCGGTGTTTATTTTCCTTTTGAAAAACTGTTATCTTGCCTCACTCATGATAAAATAGCTAAACTTCATCTAGAAAAAGGAAAGAAAACAATGTGGTCTTAGGACCACAGTAGCTTCGGAGTTGAGGGAAAAGCCACAGAAGATAAGACAGGCAAAAGTAAAAGCAAAGTCAGAAATCCAGAGACAAAGACAAAAATATAAAACCCTTCCCCTGCCTCTTAAAGAAATTATGTCAGAATTGCTTAGGCATTTCCACCTTTAAAAAATATTTCTCTTAAAAAACAGTATGACTGGCTTTGAACCAAGCTTAGCACAGAATCAAACATAAATGAGACATTTATTAAACACTTGCTTTTGCAGAAGCACAGGCTACACTACTGACAAAAAAACACAATGTTTAGATTTCTAATGCCATTTAATGAACAACGGAACAAACACTTCATTGAGTGCGCTGGAATCTGGTGTCAACAATTAACCACAGGCTAGGACACAGGCAAATTAGTAGTCACATCACTTACACCTGAACACAGCCATCATAAAACTAAAGATACCTGATTGTGCTCAACTCTTCTTTGCTTGAGTGTTACTGGAGTCTTTGCTCTGCCCTTTAGTGGTTCTCTCTTCTCAAGCTTGAGCTCTATCTTAGAGTCTGGAAATAACATTGGAGAAACCATTACTCTCTGAAACATAAAACAAACTACGTTGTCATCCAAACATTAATTGGAACCCTGGTTTTAGGCACATTAATATGTAAAAAGTTTGTTTATGGGTATTACCTCAATAGACCACAACTGTTTAACTGCAGTTTGTCTTTAAAAACTTTTCTTTTCCATTCTTATTTTATTCCATTTTTGTTTATCTCCCCCTACTCCTTAATCTGATCACCACTTCTCCCTATTTATTCTCCTTTCCTTTTTCTGGGACTAATAGTCTGAAACATAAAGTGAGTTCAAACTGCTCCCGAGGAGGCTTTTTACTAAAAACAATTCAGATGTGGGAAAGGGACACTAAAACACATAGTTGTTACCATTCTTTTTTCATACAATGCTTTACTACTATATAAACAAAGGTTAGCTATTAAATTAAGATTTGGAATATCAAAGGGAAAAAGCTATAAGGAATTTTAAGAATGATAAAAACCTATATGATAACAAGCCTCTAATAACAATAAATAAGCACAATGACGTTAATACTTGAGTGAAGTTTAAGTCTTTCCTCTCGTCTTTTTTGATATGATTATAAAAAATCCAGGTACAACTGAGGAGGTAAGGAGGAATCTTGTTCACATTGAAAAGTACAACCAATCACAGGTCACTTCTCCTCCTCCTCCCCATAATAAAAATAAGATACATTTCTTTAAAGAGAAGATAATGCACATATATTACTTAGCATATCACCATGATGGTTATTAACCTAACAACTCAAATATATATATTTTTTATAGGCTTCAGTATTCCATTCTCCTAGACTTGATTTTATCACTATTTGTAGAGCTAGTTTAAGACTGATAAAAATTTTAGTGAACTTCCATTTTTGTGGCCTTGTATCATAGTATAGCAAAATTAATGTAAGTTGTTGCTTCTAAAACTTCTATTACCAAAAATCTGTTAGATTACTTTCTTACCAGAGACAGAAATGAAGTCAATTTTTATACAGAAGCTTAGTTTTGCATAAACTCAAGGCAGTTGTGCTAAAAAGTAGTTGAGATAGCTATGTGTCTTGCTAACTACCTAGTCTAGTACTAGTCAGCCCAGAGTCTACTTGCAAGTTTTCCCAAAATGAACAGTGATTTTTACCATGTTAGTTCAAACAGTTCAATCTTTATTTAGGATTAAGGTATCGACTCCACCCCCAACCTCCCAAGACTTCCGTAAATGGATCTATAATTATATTTATGTTTAGGACAATACTTAGCGTTATAAAATCTTATGCTTCATTAACTCAGAATCCAAGAATTAGGAGGGGCAAAATAAAGAACCCAACATTAGTTGAGCAGAAACTGATTAAACAAATAAGGTATTTGGTTACAGATGAATTCCTTTAACAAATTTAAATTCCAACAGCCAATAAAAACATGATCCTCAAATAGAAGAAAAACCATACAACGATAATTAGAATATTTTCAACTATACTGAATGTCAACTGAGCTTCCATGATGAAATGGAAAAGGGATGTTCACCCACAAATATCTAACTTGTTGCAACTCCAAGAATAAAAGACACATAAAACATGTTTCTGGAGACCACACAAAACTGTTCAAATTTAACAACTTTATTGAATTTGCAGAAGCATTCTACAGTAATACATTTAAAAAAATCACAAAGCACTTAGTAGGTACATGTATACATGTACATTTAGGAGACAAATAACAAAATTACTCCCTGAAAGCTGCAAAGACGGACATAGTCTAAGAATACAGTAATGGCTAGGAGTGCCCACGGAACTGTAATTTGTTTATATTTAATACTACTATTTTCCATAAAAATACAAAGAAATTCTATTATGAAATATCTCTATAGTTAGACTCATTCATCTTACAATCATAAAAATGAAAACAGAATATACTGCTTTATATAGACACACAAGACAGTGGAATATTGTATGATTTCTTATGACCTTGTTAAAAAAACTAACAATTTAAATTTGCTTTTAGAATTTAGATTAAGTCTAATCATCCATGAACTACAACATACCTTGAAAGTGCTACTAAGAAAAAAAAAAAAAAAAAAAGCCCCATCTTTCCAGTGTCTAATTCATCTGACAAATTACAGTGATGGTGAGAAAGCACTATCACAGATTATTATGGTCTAGAGCAGTATTTCTCAAAGTGTGGTCCACGAACTGTTTGCTACCAGTCCACGAAGAAATGAAGCACTTGCACCAGAATGTAAATCAGCACACTGTTTTCTCTACCAATAAAACTTTACCACAGAAATAAACCTTGTGATTGATCTAAAAAGTGTCTCTAGGTTCAAATTCTGGTGCATGCTTATTTTGCTTGTGGATCAGTAACAGTTTGTAGACTGGCACTTCAAGTTGCACTGATCTAGAATATTATCAATGATACTGTAGACATAAGTAAAAAAACAAACAAAAGAGAAAATAAAAGGAAAAATGTAGACAAGTTTTAGAAAGTGAAAAGATATCTAGTAATATTTTAAAACAGTCAAGACTACTTATATTCTAGTTAATAGATTTTTAGTTTTGAAGAGTTGTAAAATCTTAAGTAAAATAGGAAAAAGTGAACTATTTGAGACAAAAATGTGATCTACAAAGCTTTAAATTATTTGTATCAAGCTTTCTATCTATGCAACTTGCTTAAAAAAGGCAGTTCTATGTAGGCAATTATTTTTATTTATTACTGTAATTTGATGGGTAGAAGCTTGACATTTTGAAATTGGCCCAATCTGGAGATTAAAAGGCCTTAGAGGGAAAGAAAATTTGGGTATAAAAGTACATGAAATTTCTAGAAAAGCTGGTGAGTTCCCCATATCAAAAATAAGACAGATGTCTTTCTAGTGTTTATTTCCACGCTTTTTAATTATTTTGTATAGTTCTCCTCCAAATAATGTTCCACCTTTAAAGGGAGTAACAGCCAGCTTATTCTTAGAAGCTGGATTAATTTTGCAATCCTTCAAACAGAGATAGCGGCGACCTAACGTGGAAGATCCCATGGTATGGGCAGCTATCTTTACTTCATCAAATGCAGCCTCACAAAGAAATGAGGCTGCATCATACGTTTTGCTCAGAATCCCAAGTGCCTGGTGCACACGACCAGGATCTGAGCTAAGAATTTGCGCAGCCTGACTAATGTCTGCCTGCATCGCCCGGACTACAAAGGCGGTATGGGTTGCAATCTGCAATGCTGATGCTGCAGCTTCATATGTTCTGCAAAGTGCTAAGTCCAACTGTTTATCACAACACTCAGTGGAAGCTGCCTGAATACCTGCTGGTGGAGTGGCTTCAGAAATAAACCCCGGGATTTCATCATCTACTTTTGGAACTGATAATATCCGCGTTGCCTCTCTGGAAGAAATTGGATACTTGCACGCCAATGAAGGCAGCTGCCTGTCAATTTGCTGCCACTCCTCTTCAATTACTTTTAAAATAGATTCATGGAGGGGAAAAGATACTTCTGGAGCATCTATTTTATCATGCTGTGATTGCTTAGACATTTCTATGCCTAGGGTAGTGAGTGAGTGAGAGACAACAGCTTTGGCGAAAGACGACATCAGTTCAGACCCAGGTATATTTTGAAATGCCACAAAAGAACCTGAATCCTTTTCCTCTACTGACTTTTCACTGAGTCTACGAAATTTTCGTGGAGGAGACAGGGATTCAGTTTCTTGAAAATTAGACTGATCAATTCTCTTCCTTGTGTTTTCTACATTCAGTGGGGGTGTAGAGTTAGAAGTCCCAGGCAAACTACCTACCCCACCTGGGACCAACAGAGAATTGACATAATCTCTGATTGCCTGAGCAAGTGGTGGAGAAATTACTTGTGATCTCTCAGACTCTGTAACATGGGACCTCTCAGTACATAATGGTTGAATTCCACTTTTCTCTCCATGGTAAATATTTTCTACTATGTCTTTATAGCAAGTAGTGGTAGTTTCTTTAATCAGTGAAGGAGAAGCTGCAGCAGAGACCAACATGGCAGCGAGTTCATGCTGAGAAGATGTCGAAGAACTTTTCTCTAAACATCTATCATGGCTAGACTTGGAGGAAGTAAACAAATTCCCTCCAGAGGCTAACTTCTGCAACTGTTCCCTGCCAGGCAAGGTTGTAGCAATAAGAGGTTCCCTAGGTGGGTCTCCCTTAGAAGTATGTACTTTCTTAGCTGCCTGTAGTTCAGTCCTGCCCAAAGGAGGACGGGTGGAGATTTCAGGAAAAGATATACCCTGAAAAAATCCACCAGAGGGAGTAGTTGGAAGTTCAGTAAAAGGAACAAAATCCCTAGTGGACTTCACTTTCTTGTGTTCTTTCTTCTTTCCTGTAGAGGCAAAAGAGGCAGGAAGTTTAAGCATTACTTGTGTTTAAGCTAATTTTAATCTTTGCCTCCTTGCTAACATAGTGCTGTTGAAGGAAAAGACTCTATATTTCATATTCTGAACAACCAATTTGACAGACTGTGCCCTGACAGGCAATGCTTACAGAGATATAAGCAATTTGGGTCAAATTAAATAATCATGAAATTAATAAACAAGTCATATGAATTAAAAGTTTTTAAATATCAAGTTGTTCTTATAATAAAATTTAAAAGGTCATTTATTTGAGGTATTGTTCTCAAAAAATATTTAAATATCATGGTCAAATTTTCTTAAAATATCTACTAAAAATATGCCAAAATATTTGCTTCAAAGTTGCCTTGAAATCAGATTATCTAGCAAAACGTGTACATTTAAATGCCTATCAATAGAGAACAGAGAAAACATGACATACGTAAATATTACCGCTATTTATTACGAGGAATAAACCAGACATTTATGTAATACATCAATAAGATGAGATCTCAATAACATAACACAGAGTAAAAAAAAAAAAAAGCAAGTGATAAGATTTAGCATGATGTTGTTTATATATATTTTTTAAAGTACAAAATAATACACGTATTAGATGCACGTGAAAAAGTAATTAAAAACAGACTGGAAAGATAAGCATCAAATTAATGATAGTGGTTGCTTCTGTGGAGATGATACTTGGAAAGAGATAAATGGGGGAACTTTGTCTTTATTTGTAATACTTGGTTCTCTTAGAAAAATGAGATTTGAAGCAAAAAAGATACAGGTATCTGGCAATTTCAAGTGACAAAAATTAGACATTTGTACTTTTCTGTTTCTTAGAATTCTCAACAAAAGTTATTCAAATCAAATTACTTAAAGGATTAAGTATAAACAAAAATTACATATATCTTGGTATTATTTTAAATGTCATCTTCTTCATGTTTACTGTATGAGTCTGAAAAAAATTATATATATTTGATTAACATCATTTAAAATTTTACCTTCTTCGTTGTCACTGTATCTGTCAGAGTCGTTACTTCCATTCTGTCTTGCATTTTCTGCTGAAGAAGAAATCGTTGGCAGAGGGGTAGATGATCTTGATTCTGTTCCTTGTTCCCTCAGTTTCAACAGCTTTTTCTCATATAGCTTCCTGGTTGTTCCTGTATTAAGGCAGAACTTGCTTTAGTACTCACATTGTCTTATTTAAGATCCAGCCCAGACACTATCTTTAGCAACACTAAGATGTTACTTTCATTCTTTCCTCTTCTAAACTTAAGCGCTTAAAAATACTATATAAGGGATTCTTTTCTAAAATAGGTGTTTTTCTGGGATTTTAATACATGATTACAACTTTTTTTTTTTTTTTTGTGAGGAAGATCAGCCCTGAGCTAACATCCATGCCAATCCTCCTCTTTTTGCTGAGGATGACTGGCCCTGGGCTAACATCTGTGCCCATCTTCCTCTACTTTATATGGGATGCTGCCACAGCATGGCCTGACAAGCAGTGCATCGCTGCGCATGCACTTAACCGCTATGCCACTGGGCCGGCCCCCAAAATGTTTCTTTTAATAGCACAGAATACATAGTAGACTGCTATAGATCTTATTAAACATCATGTACTGAAGAACCATGTATGACTGAGTATTTCTGACTGAAAAGTTTTGGACTTGGTATATTTTCTCCAGTATTATGTCATAGTACTTGCCTTTGTAGAAAAATCATTTTTATAAACAGACAGTACTCCTTTTAATTACCATGCTTAAAACCCCACAACTCTAAGAGAGTAACATGCCTATAAATAGCCATTCAGTTATGGGAAAAGAAAAGTCCGATAAATCAATTTAAAAATTGAATATATTTGACATATAACTGTGTAAATTTAAGGTGTTGTATTTAAATATAACTACTTTGCAGTTAAAATGACCTTTTATAGAAATGTGTGTTACAAATAGAAATTATATACCAATTAGATAGCAAAGTAAAACTGATTATAAACAAATTCTTAACACATTTCAACATCAATTTAGCTTTTATCAAAAATAGCTTTTATTGCACCCGGCCCCATGCCTTAGCAGTTAACTGTGCCCTCCGCTGCTGGCGGCCTGGGTTCGGATCCAGGGCGCGCACCGACGCACCGCTTCTCCGGCCATGCTGAGGCCGCGTCCCACATACAGCAACTAGAAGGATGCGCAGCTATGACATACAACTATCTGCTGGGGTTTTGGGGGAAAATAAATAAAGAAATAAAATTATTAAAAAAAAAAAATAGCTTTTATTTTGCTTTACCCCAGCTGTACGTTTTCCCGATTTCTGTAAGATGAATAAAATGATAATATATAGTTTTAAAAACAACACATATCTCAAAATGTTATATAAGTAGTCTTAAGATGAACAGCTAGGGAGGGGGAAATGGGAAGATGTTGGTCAAAGGGTACAAAATCTCAGTTATGCAAGACGAGTAAGTTCTGGTATCTAATGTTATAGCATAGGCTGTAGTTAACAATACTATATTATATCCTTGAAATTTGCTAAGAAGGTAAATCTTAAGTGTTCTCACCACACATGCACACAAAAGAAAACTATGTGAGGTGATGGATATGGTAGTTAGCTTGATTATGGTGATTATTTCACAATGTATATTAAGTTGTACACCTTAATATATACAACTTAAAAAAAATGAACAGCTGATAACACCAACATGTAATTTAATGTATGTTGAGACATAATGCACATTTTTCAGCATCTCCACTTTGGAATTTTAAAAGAAAAATTTAAGAAGGGTATCAAACGTCTTTTGGTAATTATATTAATAGGCTTATTATCATCTATTTGGAAGCAGTGTATTAAATAAAACAAAAGAAAGACAACATTCCAAATTCTTGTTTGCAACCACACCTACAGGAAAAGACAAACTCCCAAATCTCCACTTCAAAATTTTACATAACTTAGAAGATCAAAATAGACCTTTCTCATCTTGAGGTTATCACCAAGACCCTATAAAATTAAGGCATAATCAGCCTTGCAAAATCACCTACTAACAGTAACCAAATGATGGAAATCCAGTGTATTTAGTTTTTCCAGGTTTTCTTATTTTAGTTCCTCTTGAGGGTATCATTCTTGAATTCCAATCAAGACTTTTAACTTACTGATTTGGATGAATTTGGCCAGCTGTTACCTCAGATTTTCCTAAATTGTCATATAAGACCCAAATGTCTCACCAGGTAGTGTGATATAAACACCATATGAAACAATCTCAACAGAGGCAATCTTGGAGATTAGCCAGTTCAATTCTCTCATTTTATTCCCCTCACTTACAATTAAGGAAACAAAGATACAAGTCATATAAATGATTAATGACAGACTGGCCTTTAGAACTCAAACTCTAACTGCTAGACAGAGAGGAAAACAATTTGGGGTTCACAGAAAAGATATCTGAAATTTTATCAGCTTACCCACAATAGGACCAGGATTCACTCCATATCTCACAAGCTGCTCCAGAAGATCTTCATTAGTTAGCTCTGTTACATCTAGATCATCTTTATCTTCTAGTCTGGGTCTATCAGTTTTCTTTGTGGCTTTCTGTAAACAAAGTCCAGTTATTTTGACATGAATTAAAAAATGTTCATTTACTATATAAATAACACTGTATACAATAAACATGCAAATTCACTTCCAAGTTGATTTATAGTTATACTAGGCCTTAGCAATTTCATTAACTTCAAAGCAACTCATTACTTGAAGATATTTTCTAAGTTCAATTATAATTATACAAACCTAACACCCAAGCAAATAACTCAAATTTTAAAGACTACTGTTAAAATAGTCAATTTTGGCTAACTATCTAAAGAGGAGGTAATGGCATCAAAAATTCAAAAGAACAAATACAGTGGGTTTAAACATTTCCATCCAGATAATCACAAATACAATTTACTACTGGCTTCTTCTGATAATTCTTAAAAAGTTTAAATTAATATAGTAAAGTTTAAGACTTTACCTTAAAGGTTTATACTTAGTTATGCATAAAAATGATTTCCTTTAAACAAGCCTATCAGAATTTAAGAAGCCCAAATGAATATCCTTATTGTAAAATTGTGACTTTAGTAGCCAGTTTTTGACACCTGAAGGAAGTCAGACAGACTTTCTGGCTACATATCACCTCTGACACAGCTTGGTCACCACACTTAGGTTTATATGACCATTTCACTACGAACAGCTGCAAGAACATGGAACAAGCTTTGAGAGAAATTTCAACGGAATTTTTTAAAACAATTTAAGCAAAGGCAGTATTTACTGGAAAAACTATATAAACCTGCAAGGTTAAACAGGAGAAGGGAGCAAAAATATGGGTACCTTTTAGGGTTGTGGCAAATAGCCTTACAAATGCCTCAGTAATCCCAGAAAGCATCAGAGTACTGAACATAAATGGCTGTTAAATAATGGCCACAAATATCAAAATCAATGTAGGCCCAAATTACTATTTAAGGTAGAAGAGTCAATATTGCATCCTAGAAATATTTTATGCAAAACGGCAAAAATCATAAAGTTGTATGAACTGCTTACTTTCCAATGATGCTGAAGGAGGAAAAAAACAGGCTTTATTCGGCCATGTATTAGAATTTCTGTTTTTTAACCAAATAAAAATTTGACGTACTTCATATAAATATTATGAGAAATTATTCTTTAAACATAGTTGCCAATAAGAACAATGATGTCAATGCAAGAGAAACCTTAAATTAAAAAATGGCTGTGAAAAGTTAGTGAGGGTACTTTCAGAAGGCTTTAATACACATATTACACTTATCTAGCATCATCAGGCTCAAACCTTGAAGCAACCCACACTTTGACGTCAAAATAGTAGTGTAGAGTCTAAGAATATTATACTATATCAGAGCCTTGAGTTCTTTATAGAAAAGACGGTTTTTAATCAAACAGATCTAATCCCATGTTAGTGACCTACTTGAATTTTCCAAAGAGTGTGTGGACGGATTGGGAAGAAAAACTCCATTGTATAACATAAATACTTTAAATAAGAGAAAATCAATCAGTTATAGATTACTTATAGATAATCCCTCCCACTGTAAGAATGTTCAAATTCTACTATCAACAAAACATCCAGGAATTTCAACTCCTTGCAACAGCCTGAGGTTTTCAGGAAATCTCTTTCTTTGGCACTCAACACATTCTGCCTATTTTTTATTAGTTATCTGTATACATGCATTATCTTCTCCAGATGGTGAACTCGTTGAACAGTAGTCCCCAAGTCTGCTTTGTTATCAAAATCTCAAAACTTTTGGAAAAGTTAGCCCTATTTTAAAAAGTCTTACTCCATTCTAAGTACTAATATTGGGCCCGAGAATATGTATTTTAATGTGTATTTCAGGGGATTTTGGATGCAGCATTTAAGATGGTAGCTGAAAGCAGGGAGCACCATCACACTCATATTTGTATCCCAAGCATCTAAAATTTAAAACAAGAAGGCCTGACACAGGAATGGACACCTGATAAATGTTTCGTTGAATGAATGAATGAAAGTGCCATCTGGGGAGGGAAAAATAAGTCACTTATTTTTAAAAACCCATTTTTAAATTAAGAAATAACAAAGGCTTATCAAATTGAAGCAGGAAACCAACTCTCATATTTTAAAACATAATGAAAAACCACAGTTGTACAAAGAAATCTTAAGTAAGAGGCCAATAAACTGGCATAAGTTAAGTTAAATAGAGCAGGGGTTCGTAATAGGCTACCTGATTTTTATTTTTAATTTGTAGAGAGAAAAGTTCCAGGAAAGTAATGTCATTTTATGAAATATCACATTTAATAAGAATAAAAATTGGGAGACAGGTAGTGTGGTATACATAATTATCAAGCGAGCAGTTTCAATCGGGAAGAAGGAACCATTAGTTGTACTGATTTCTGCCTCCAGAGAGCTTTGTTCCTTTAAGTGAATCATGTAATCTCTTAGTTTCATTCAGTCAAAAATACTGAGTACCTACTATGTGCCAGGCACTATTTTCCAGTTTCCTCCCTACTACCCCATGATCTCTAATGTCTTTTTCAACTTTAAAATCCAATAGTTCTGATATCACCCATGAGCTACTCTTATTTTTTTAATCTCTACCATTACTAGCAAAGATGCTAAAGTTTAACAATAATGATAATTATAACATAGATTCTATTGAGCACTCATTATGTACCAAGTTGTGCTCTAAGTGCCTTATATGTATTAACTTACTGAATCCTAAAAATTCCATGAGATAGATACTAACATCCCCACTTTACAAGAGAGGAAATCGAAGTTCAAAGTTGCACAGCTAACTCAGGCAATCTGCATACTATGCTATATAGTAACACTTGAACAGACTCTACGTACACATCACTTTCACAAACCTACCTCATCCAATTCTGAAAAATATATGATGGTAACATTGTGTCGCTCTGGCATTAAACAAAGACAAAAAAAATCAGAAATCACATGCTGTAATAGGTCCCAATTGCTGAGCACTGGACACCTTCACAAATGCACCCTCATGTAACCTTCAATCTAATTAAGTAGCTATCAGATTATTCCTATTTTCCAGATGAAAACTGAGCATCTGACACGCAATGTTCACTATTCGAGGTCATCTGAATAAGTAGCAGACCTGGAATTTGAATCTGTAACTCCCTGATTCAGAAGTCTGTACACTTAACACCTGACAGTAGAGTATGGTGGCCAATTTATGATTTAATTAACATTTACCATTGCTAACATGCTTTTTACTGTTCTGTTCCATGTCTTTAAATATTTCCTGTTAAGAATTCATAATCCACCAGATCAGACCATTAAAGAATGCTATGCTCCACTCGATTCCAAACAGATACACTGCTTTGCACCTTGAAACGAAAAAGGCGGATCACCAACTCTGAAAATGTTTATTTTTGTGTCGACAACATAGATAATTTCAACACTTAAAATTACTGGTATTAACAAGATGCATAAAATAAAAAGCCTACAAATAAGAAAACTAAAAACCGAAACCAAATTTTGAACATGCAGATATTTGTCCTATCATACCAAGTGACTAAGAGACCATGGTGGTGGCTGATATGAAACAATTTCTCCTTTAATTAAAAATATTCCTGAGGCCGGCCCCATGGCATAGCGGTTAAGCGCACGTGCTGGGCTGCTGGCAGCAAGGGTTCGGATCCCGGGCGCGCACTGACGCATCGCTTGTCAGGCCACTTGTCAGGCCACGCTGTGGCGGCATCCCATATAAAGTGGAGGAAGATAGCCACAGATGTTAGCCCAGGGCCAGTCTTTCTCAGCAAAAAGAGGAGGATTGGCACGGATGTTAGCTCAGGGCTGATCTTCCTCACAAAATAAAGAAAGAAAGAAAGAATAAATAAATAATAAAAATATTCCTCATAAATCTATGTTTAAATAGAAGGTGTGGGAGATCAAGATTTGGCCACCCTGAAATTTATCTCTTTACCTTGATTGTTTTCTCTGAGGGACATCTGACCTCCCCCACTAACTGCCTAAAGAATTTGACATGGTGGCTCCTTCCTGGAACAGATCTTCTATCATGATGGCTATAAAGATAATGTAGGATAGAGGTTACAGTAGCAAAGGCACCAAGCCTCTTTTATCAAAAAACTCTGTCTCTCCCTGACCACATTATCTATAGATGACCCCAAAAAGAATTGTCCTCCTGCCCTCTGAGGTCCCAGGCCACTACCCACCCCCAACACGCTCCTCGCCTTTAGCTGCAATACTTAAGCAAGCAGCTTAGACAGAGGGACGAGTTGCTCATTTCTGAGTTTCTCCCATGTATACATGTTATTAAACTTGGTATTATTTTCTCCTGCTAACCTGTCTTGTTGATTGTTTGGCCAGCCAGAAGAACCTTAAGGGAAAGGGCAGAGGGAGATTCTCCCTCTTCCCCCGACAAAGGTATATGCTATGCCTTTGGCCAAATCAACATTAATGTTTGTTTTATTTTTTTTGTGAGGAAGATCAGCCCTCAGCTAACATCCATGCCAAGCCTCCTCTTTTTTTTTTTTAGCTGAGGAAGACCGGCCCTGAGCTAACATCTATTGCCAGTCCTCCTCCTTTTTTTTCCCTTTTTCTCCCCAAAGCCCCAATAGATAGTTGTATGTCATAGTTGCACATCCTTCTAGTTGCTGTGTGTGGGACCCGGCCTCAGCATGGCCGGACAAACGGTGCGTCAGTGCGCGCCCGGGATCCAAACCTGGGCCGCTAGCAGCCGAGCGCGCGCACTTAACCACTAAGCCACGGGGCCGGCCTCATGATTTGTTTTAAAACGTTAAAAATTCACCACTTAAAAAATCTGCCCTAACTGCAACTCTCAAACATAACTGAGCTTTCTCCTAGATTACAAATATTCTTTAATAAATGTGACCGTATCATTATGTATGGTGCTAACAATGACTAGAACATAAAATATCGTATATGCAAAAGGAATATGCTATGGAGAAGAATTTTATATACCAATTATTATAAAATTCCCTAAGGTTCTTTTCCTATAAATTCAAGGTATTTTTCCTATGCCTGATAAGTCTAGCAGACTCCTAAGTTAAATTATAACTCACTTTTAATGTCTTTAAAAAAGAAAATGATGCTACTGACCAACTACCATTATTAACGTTTTCAACTTGTTGACTCCATTGAGCCTAGCCAAGAGTACACATTTTTGAGTTTTAAATATTCACGGTAGAGAAGACTTAAATCTATGGCTATGAGATAGTTTTTCTTTATATGGGTCACAACACTGAGATATAAAGGGCTCAGCATGACACTAGATATAGCAGGTTCTCTTAAAATGTTAATCCATTTCACCCAGAGCTGACTTGCACGTTGCTGACCGACGTGGATAACATTGGAGGTTGTTGAGATGAGTAAGTACAATCAATTATCATACCAAAAAAAATCCAAGCAATTAATTATAGTGGTGGCTGGAGTCTGCAGAAATCGATCTTCAGTAGTCAAGAGCACACGGTAGGAACTCAAAAAATTGAGCTACTTGAACTGAAATTAAAAACTTTTACATTCAATTCTTCGTACACTCCAAAGAACACAAGGTAGACTGGGACATATGCTCTTTTAAAAAGTTGCTGAAGGAAAAACATTAAAACCGAGATGGTTGTTTGTCGAAAATGAATCATCATCAAAATAAATAAGATCAAATAATCTTATTATAAATATACAACCAAATACTCACATGGCTCTAAAATAATACACTTTCACAGACGACCAATATAGGGTTCCACAGAAGACCAGTTTTTAAAAAAAGTGTCCTGATTTAAATGGAAAATATTTCATTTTCAACCAAATCTTTACTAAAATAGAATATTACTTTGTTTTTCAGAGGGGTTGGGGGAAAACAGATAAGGGATATGCTTTACTTCAAAAGTAAATTTCTGTTTATTCTGGAGAAGTAAAGAGGCTTTCTTCAAATCCACAAAAACCAGACATCAGAAACAATAAGGTGGAGCTGGTCTTTTATTTATTGAACAAATATTTATTTGGAACCACTTATGTGCCGGGCACTGACTTAAGACCCAAGATTTCAGTTTTTCTAAGGCCCAGGCTAAGATTTTCAATTAAATTTACATGTATCTATTACACCTTCCTTCCATTTCCACCTGGGTAGTTCAGAACACACATCAAATAGATTCTTAAAAACTAAAGTTAAACAATGTAACTTTGAAAGAAGCAGTACTTGTTTGTTATACTAGTCATCAGTAGCAACAACTCCAGACTCAACATGGGATGTTTTACACAACATTGTACGTTACACCAATCACTACTTTCAACTATTCAATTATGATTTGACGTCTGGTAACTAAGATTCATACCAACAAAAATAGCATATAAAACCCCACAAAACAAAAAACAAACTATTTCAATCTGAGATTTATCTAGGTTTACATATTCCACATTGCAATACTGATATATCAGAATGTCATGACATTTCTGATTCCTAAGGCTTTCCTTTTCTCATGCGAAATTTACCAAAAAGGAAAAAATAAATCCCCAAACCCCAATCCTAACTAGAATTTTCAAATATTTGAGCGTCTACGATAACCGCTTAAAGATGTATTTTTAAATGCTCGTTTTAATTTAGAGTAACGCTGCCCCGCCAAAAGATGGCCTGTTGTTAGAAAAGAGTAACACGAACAAGAAAAACATAAACGGTTCAAAAAGCCCTCCATATGCAAAAATATAAAAAGGCGGGAATTTATTTCAAATTTTGGTTAGAAATTAGTATGTCACAAATTGCCCTCCAGGGAGCGCTCTGAGACTCGGTTACTAGTCATTTCAGTTCATAAAGCGGGAAAACGCTCGAACGGAACCTAAGGCAGTTTCGGGCCGACCCTCCCCGGGGCTTTCGAGAAGGGCACTGAAGTCCCGGTCTAAACACCCACTCCTGGCGCCCGGGGGGTCCGGGGACACCACCGGGCTATCCGCGCGCGCCCATCACCCGCGCGCAACACAAGAGCAAAGGCCACCTGCACACGTCCAGCCACGCAACGACAGAGACGCCAGCCCCGCGGCCCCGACTCCGGGACCCGCCTCTCCAGACCCTCCCCTTCCAGAGCCTGCAAGCCCGCGGCCAAGGAGCCCACTCGAGCGGCCGCAGACCCAAACGCCGGCCCGCTGGTCGCGCGCGGGGACAGCCCCGCCGCCGAGGAGGCCAGCCCGAGGGGGCGCCAACCGCCCAACGCCCGCCTTTGTGGCCCCAGCCGGGCGTCCTTACCCTGCCGACGGCGGCACGGCTGCGGCCTGCGGCCCCGGAGCCGAGAACCGGGGTGAGCTCGCGCTCCTCGTCGCTGGAGAAGTCCGGGGGCCCCTTGCTGTTGGCGCCGGCGGCGAGCGGCGGCCGGTTGCGCGCCGTGAGGTGCTGCAGGTAGAGCTGCACGTACACGTCTTTGCGCTGCTCCCCGGCCGGGAGCGTCACATTGTTGGCGACCAACTCACTCTTCAACTTCTCTTTCGTCAGGACCGAGGGGTCTTCCAGGAACTCCGGCATCTCGGCGGCGAATCCCCTTCCCCGCAGCCCTCACACCCTCCGCTCACGCCGGCGCGCTCGCTCCTTGCCCGCGGGAGGGGGGACGCCGCCGCCTCCGAACCTCACGGCTCCCGCCCGGGAGGAGCGCCGCGGAGCAACGCAAACACTCGCGCACACAAAGCAAAGCAAGAGGCGCACACAAAGCCCCCGCAGCAGAAGTGCGAAGCAAGTGCCACCAAGCCAGGAGCCCGCAGCAACCCCAGCCCACACACTACAAGCAAGGGGCGAGCAGCCTGCTTCGCCCACGCCCCAAGAACGCGCGCCGCCATTGGCCCGCGGCGGTAGGAAGCGCGGCGCTGATTGGCGGGACGCCTCGCGCGGGTTCCATTAGCCGCGGCGCGGTGCGAGGGGTTGTAGAAACGCAGTTTAAAAGCCGCTCGGGCGGGATCCTGGGTGTCCGGCCTGTTTCTGTTTCTCTTTTCGCCAGTCTTCCCCTTACACGCTGATATGGGAGGAGTCGTACTGCTTTTGTGCGCGGTTTTCTCTCCCTCCCCCTGCTTGAGAAGAAGCTTCCTCTCCGGGTTCGGTCGCCCACGAAGGGGCCGAGTTGCACGGCGGCTGCGAGGACCCGGGGACTGGGCCTTTCTCAGTCCCGGGACGTTGATCCCCCGAAGAATAGCCGCAGCCTCGCCTTCCCCAAACGCTATCCCTGAAGGGAAAGAAAAGAAGCGAGGCGTGTTTGTAGGCGCTTATCTTCCTTGATTTGATTGACTTGTGGGGAGGGAAGGGGCGAGCAGGCGGTTAAATCCCCGTGTCCGCTTGCAAGTGCTTCTTTGTTCCCGAAATCCGGGAAAAGCCAGACCTCGAGTACTGGACGGCTGAAACTGCCCTTAATTTGTGACAAAATTGTATTGTCAAATATGCCGTTTGCTTCTTAGCCTAAAGGTTGGGGCATTTCTAAATTATTTCATTTGAACAGTTAGTTGGGGCTCCACTGCATATTTATTTAGAGCCGTCTCTGGGTTAGATCCCTTCGCCCGTATTTTACCATAACTTCATCTAACCTGATGTTTAATAATACAACAAGGCGAAATGAAACGTTTAGGAATGCCTTAATGGGCAACTTAAGATAACTGAGATAGATGCATACTAGATTTTAATCACTAGGAAGCCTAGTGACCTAAAATTAGGCCGGGAGCCCTAATCAAACCCGTATTATTACTGATCCAAATTAAAACCTGGTAGAGTCTCAGAAATTTGCCACAATTAAAATATCTCCCTGAAAACAAATACCACTGATGACGAATATTTGTATTTCTTACGAATTTATATATGTTTCAAGATGCTTTCTTCCAGGAAAGGAAAGAAACTGACCTTGGATTTAGGCTGTCTTAATCGTTTCCCCAGATTCTAACCTCAAATCTATGCTTTATAAGCTGCTTAAAATTTTTTTCTTAAATGTTTATCTGATCTCTGCATGGTTGTTTAAATTCAAGTAAAGTTAAACGCCTTCACTAAAAATGTTTCCTATAAGTTAAGCCATTTTATTTTGTTCAAATTGAGGAGACTTTTCTTCTAATGATGGATTATTTTCCTACAGGCAGCTTCATATTATTAATTCTTTTCTAAAAACCTCAGTATTTACATATATTTAAGCAATAGTATTTAGCTCAGTAATTCAAATTAAAAATTGTATTTTAATTAGCAAGTTGTTTTGTAGATTTTTAGGATGCCTTGTTAAAGTTACCTAATTCCCCTGCCCCCTCCCCAACAGCTTCTCTGGGCACATTGGCAAGTATTTTTATCTTCAGAGGGGGAACTGATTTGACAGGCAAAGGACCATGATTTTGTAGTGACAGGTAACCCCACAAATGTAATTAATGCATGTGGGATGTCCCAGTCTGCAATGTGCCTGTCACAGTTCAGTTATTTCTTCCAGGATAGCCTCAAATTATAATGGGCAGAGCCACAAAGTCCCAAGCGTAATCTCTGCAAGGCCACAGTTGATGCATTTATTCTACCCTATTTGAATTAGCCAGTTATCCTGTTAAATCATTACCTTGCTAGTTGAAGAGTTTGGCTCTGGCCTGACTGTACTAATAGTTAAGAGGTAGGTTTTGCTGCTCTGAAAAGGGTACATTACCTGGGCTAGATTTAGATTTGATTTGACTAGGGTGGAGTACATAAAGGGTCTCCAGGCTCTGACAGCTGCCCTATGGTCTGAGGATACCTGGGCAGCTAGGTCTCTGAAGCAGATCCTCAGAAGAGGAGGCATCACTAACACTTGAAGATAATAGTCTTCTACCTAAATTTGATGTGAATAGAGTACAATGCTAGAGTCACAGAGCCACCTGAGAGAGCGACCTGTGAGGATGCTGCACTGAAACTGTGCTTTTTTCATAGGGCCTTTGCACCAGAAATTTTCCAGGCAGTTTAATCTCTAGAGACAATAATTCATCCTACTTCTTACCACAAGCCAAAAAAAAAAAAATCATTGAATCTGAAAGTTCTTTTAAGTAGACATAGTACTTTGCTCTACAGGCCAACATTAAAGATAATATAATTCACAAAGAACTGCATTCTAGATGCCTGAAATGAATGTTCCCTGAGCAAAAACATCATTTTCATCCCCTTTCATTAATTCTCTCTGCTTTTCTATCTGTGGACACTGTTAACAGGAGGCTACTTGCAGATTCTACATTTCTCAGGAGACATAGTTGATGTCATGAACTATCAGAAACTGCGATTGCCTTTTTCCATCACCCACAAAGTCATGAGTTATCAAATTCAGACTTCCTATCATCCTGGATGCATCCAGGTGTATGCCAGCACTGCTATTTTTAGTAATGAAGATAATTTTTGCTTCTAACTGCTGTAGAGCTCTGAAATGGTTATTTTTTCTCATACTCTGTGTACCTTAAGGCTGACAGATTTGGCTGCAGAGTTTGGGTGGCCTCTGTTCCTGATTACTTCTTCCAAACTGTTTCTCCTTTTCTCTCCTTCAAAAACATCTGAAGTTCATATCATCTGGCTAAATCACCCTCTACCATCTTTACTGCCATCAGTAAAGACAGCCACTGTCCCTCAGAAATTATAGACTTGCTCCTTGCTCTGAGTTTTCCTCATCATCCCTCTTGTCTACATTCTGTCTGAATTCAACACAGATGACCCATGCAACACCCACACTTGGCCTTTTACATCTTTGACCTCTTCACGCCCAACAAACTGTTCCTCTATTCCATCTCATCCATCCACTCTAGTGGTAAGATTCTGAAACTTGTCATTGATAACTGTTTTATCTTCTAAATCTCAATTTCAAGCACCCCAATTATCAATCACTAGCCTTTTTGCCTCAGCTCTTTTATTGTACTCGCACTGACCTAATTGAGACCCCCCCAAATCCAGTACCCAAACACTTTAAAAAATCTATTATCCTGCTTCTGCCATCATATAATCATTTCCAACTCACTTGACTTAGATGCTCTGATTAACCCTTGTAATCGCTCTTTTGCAAACATTTTCAACTCTCTTAACCCAATGTCTGTCTCTTTCTTGCTTGGAAGAACCTCAACCTTGCTTGGACCGAACCCTGCTGGAACAGACTTTCCCATTGCTTGCACTCAAGTAGCAAAGATTGCTGGAGAAAAATCATACAGCAGGCTGACTGGTTTTAATTCATGACCTCACACTCACAGGAGCACTCAACACTGGCTGGCAAAGCTCTTCATTCTCTGGATTAATCATTCATACCTTCACTTCTCTCCTCAAATCTCTCACATCCCTTTCTACCACCTCTTCCTACTTTCAGCTGGTGACCCTGCCTGATACTTAAAAAAACAGAAACCATCTGCAGGGATTGCCTCAACTTCAGACAGTCAAGCTACACTTATTTTCTCTGGCATTTTGTGTCAGTGGAAGAGGTGTCCTTCTATCAGAGTGAATTCCACCACTTGTGCTCTGGATCTCATCCTTCTCTCCTCAAGGACTTGATTCTTTCAGTCATCTCCTGTGAAATTCCTGAATTAAAAAAAGCAATGACTTGGTGTTTTATTTTGTGTTACATTCATCCAAAATAAAAATTTTTGTACCTTTTATGTTGAAACAGGTATTAGGTTTTAAAAAAAATCTTTAAAAGGTTACAGCATTGATACCTAAAACCTTGGGAAACAGTGGGAAGATATTTCTATGTGAAGCCACAGCTTAAAAAAAAAAAACTGATGCAATTGCTTTTTCAGAAAACTCTTCCAAAACTTTTTTTTTCTAAATCACTTAGATAACAGCCTCCATTTCCTTTCTTGAAGTTCTTAATGTTATTAATGTACAGCTGACTTTTTTGTTTTTCATTATCCTGTTTTGCATAGGGCTTGGTTGTGAATTTAAAGGTGTCACCTCCAACAGAGCAGATGACGAAATACTATATGGTCATAAAAATTATGTTCTTGACACTTATTTAAGAATATGAGAGAATGTTCACAATATAGCATTAAGTAAAAAACATGTAGAAAAATTGAGAACTATATTACAGTAAGATCTCAGTTCTACGAAGAACTGAAGTGTGTATGGATATGCGTATCTTTAAAAATATATACAAAGAGAGCCAGCCCGGGTGGCCTAGTGGTTAAGTTCAGTATGCTCTGTTTTGGCGGCCAGGGCCCAGTTCTAGGCGTGGACCTACACTGCTCTGTTAGTGGCCATGCTGTGCTGGCGGCCCACATACTAAAAAATAGAGGAAGATTAGCACAGATGTTAGCTCAGGGTGAATCCTCCTCAGAAGAAAAAAAAAATACACACACACACACACACACACACACACACACACACAGACTAAATGAATATAGACCAAAATGTTTGTAGTAGTTTCCTGCAGGTGGTGGGGCACAGGTGATTTTTATTTTCTTCCTTATGGTTTTCTATATTTGCTAAGATTTCTACAATGAATACATATGATTTTATAACCATAGCTACTTTTCTCTTTGAATTAGTGTAAGAAATTGGGAAATCACTTGGTTTATCAGAATTCTGAGTCTGTCTTTCAGTTTTGCATTGCCAAAGGCTCCATTTTATCAGTTCATCCAGAGTATATCAGTCTTAGGTAACTGATTAAAAACAACCTCAAAAGAGAAACCTAGCTTATTAAACAGCTGAAATAAATGCTCAGAGCATTCTATACTAATGGATAAATCCACTTGGAACAATAAATGATAGACTGGAAAATTTTTAGTGAAATAGAACAAAATCACAGAGCTATTATGTGTCAGGATTT